CAACATACACACAGAACAACAAATAATATTATTTAAATATGCCCTCTATTCTAGAAAATTCCAAAGGATGCTATTATGTTCAGGAACTTCAGAGTACCAGGTAAACCAATGTTTTAGGGAAAACATTTCCCTTGTGCTAAAAGCATCAATTCACTGATTGATGACTTCTTACATTTGCAAAATTAAATGCTGTCTGAGTAACAGTCCACAAATTATCTACATAGCTGAGTAGAAAACAAACAGAAAGAAAATGAATAGGAAATTCTGTTCTATTTCAACAGATCAGGATCCATAATAGGCTAGCTCCAACTCACCTTCAAAGCTGGTTTTGGAATTAAGCTGTTGGGACTCTCTCCTTATTATTAAAAGGGGATCCCCAGGAGCAGGCATGGGCAAGTCTATTTTGAGAAAGTTCCACAAGAGATTTCAGTTGTAAAGATGGGGTTGAGAATTACTACAGTAGACAATCCCATTTCTGCCTTGGCTTTGATTAACAACTACATGTTGAAAACTCCCAAACTTACTCCAGATCTCTTCTCTGAGCTCCAAACCAATACCGTTAATCCATTAGCAAAGCCCTGTTGAATACAAGAACTCAAATCTATGAACTTCTTTCCATCTTCACTAATACCACCCTGGTTCAAATTATTAGCATCTCTCCCCCAAACTCCTGCCAATGCCGTTACTACTCCTGATTCTTTTGTAGAATCCATTCTCTATACAACCAACAAAGCAACCTTTAAAATAATTATTTTTATTATTCCACCATTTCACTTCCCACTGTATTCACATAAATTTCCTGTCCTGGAAGTTAGAGCCCTAAATTATCTGATTCCCTGCCCACCTCTCTTACCTGAGCTGTATCATTCTTACCCCTCTCTCCTCTACTCCTACAACCCTGACCTTTTCCCTTTCTTCTAACACACGAGCCTCTTCCCACCCTAAGGCTGTCACAATGGCAATTCTGTCTAGAATGTTCTTCCCTCTGATCTACTTAGTTTGTTCCTTCTTATCATTTACACCTCAATTTAATGTTCCTCCTCAGGAAATCTTTTTCCAAGTATTCAATCTAAAGCAGCCTAGAATTATACACTTTTTCAAAACCCTGTTAGCATTTTCTGCATAGCACACATCACTTTTGGAAACTAAATTATATACTATATCCTTAATTCTTTTAAAAAAAAAATGTGTCTCCTCCAGATAGAATAAAATTTTCAGTAAGATCAAATGAGCTTATTTATTGCCTTATTTTCACCAGTGCCTAGAACTTTAAATGCACTCAAAAATAATTGGTGAAAAGAAAATCCAAATGCCTACTTGCCTGACATCTCCACCTGGATGCCTTGCTATTTGTAATAGCAAATATAACATATTCCTAATATTTGAATTTATGATCACCCTACCGTGGGAAAAAAACTAGTCCTATCTTCTCATGATTCTGACCTAAGTGAACAGAACGAAGACATAACCAGCAGCATAAGCCACATAATTAAGAAACATCCTTTTCTTTTTAATCTTTAAAAGATTTTTTAAATAAATTACACAAAATATACATTTTTGTATACAATTATTACAAAATATACAATTATTACAAAATACTAACTCTATTCCCCATGTTGTACAATACATCCTTATAAGCCTATCTTATACCCTATAGTTTATACCTCCCACTCCCCGACCTATGTTGCCTCTCACCTCCTCCCCACGGGTAACCACTAGCTTGTTCCCTATATCTGTGAGTCTGCCTCTTTTCTGTTATATTCACTAATTTGCTATATTTTCTGGAAGGAATTACCCTTGACACTTCCTTCTCCCCCAGGTTTTATCATCAGTTTGTCTCTAAAATATACTGGCCACATCCACTCTGTCCCTCTCTTCCCCATCACCAACCCAACCAAATCACCATGTCTCACTTGGATTATCAAACTCGTCTACTCATTTCTCCTCCGGCTTCCGTCCAACCCATTTGCTGCAGTACAGCTATACGATCTATTCGCATATAATCTGCTTTATCACTTTCCTATCTGATACCCTTTAAACAGCCTGTTCTAGATTTTCCAGTCTAATTTCTCACTCTCTCTCATCCATTCAGCCATTGATCTGACAGATATACATACCGAGTACCACAAACAGGCTGATACAAAATAAAGATCTTGATCTCATGAAGCTTACAATCTAATAGAGGAGGTTTTCACCAACAAATCAACAAATAAAAAGTCACACAGTAATAAGTACTAAGAAGAAAAATAGAACAGGGTAAGGTTTTACACTGAGTGACTGAACAATAAAAGGTCTTAGAATGGTAGATTCCCAGATCGCTCAGTAGTAAGGAATCTGTCTGCCAATGCAGGTTCGATCCCTGGGTCAGAAAGATCTTCCCTAGAAGGGAAGATCCCCTGGAAGAGGAAATGGCAACCCATTCCAGTAGTCTTGCCTGGAAAAATCCCATGGACAGAGAAACCTAGCAGGCTAGAGTCCATAGGATTGCAAAGAATCAGACATGATTGAGCACATCATAGTAGTGGGAAATTGTGGGCATATTTCTAGGTGCTCAGATGCTCCATCATGTCCAACTCTTTGCAATCCTATAGCCTATAGTCCGCCAGGCTCCTCTGTCCAAGGAATTTTCCAGGCAAGAATACTGGAGTGGGCTGCCATTTCCTATTTTAGGATATCTTCCCAATCCAGGGCATATTTCTAGGTTGTGTCAATAATCAGAAGATGCTACTGGGGGGTTTAGAGGGTGGCAACCAGGGATGCTGACTGTCCTGCAATACAGGATAGTCCCACACACAAAGAACTGCTCTTATCCCTTAACACTTTCATATGTCCACATACGAGAAAAACCTGCTTATAATTATCTACACTCTTAATACCACTTTACATACAGACACAAAGAAGTTTTGCATGATTTTAATATACAATAGATTTCCCAAAAATAAACTATCATATAAAGTGAGGGAAAACTATACTTTGTTTAATTTACAGTTTTTCTAAGAATTATTCACCATTTTAGAATTGGTGAATTATTCATTCACCAATGCAACTTGGTAATGTAAGTCACAAATATAAACATCTTTAAATAGACGTTTGTGTGCAGCTGTTGAATTAATGATACTCTGTAAGCATCTAACAACTCCACTGTCTCCTCCTGGAATACAGCTACCTGGGCATGCACATTATCAAATAAACACATATTAATTTACTATAAATTACTTTTATTTTTATTTATTTCTCAGATTACAATTAGGGTATTTGTTTAATTTAATTATGTACACAGAAAGAATATATTCACCAACTCAAATCATTTGAAAAATATTTGCTGGGCCCCTACCTACATTTCAACAGCTAGTCTGAGCACTTTGGATACATTAGTAAACAAAACATATATCCTTACATAATAAATAAGTGAAATATTTAGTTTCTTAGAGGAAAAGTAAGGTGGACTGTGGATGCTGAAAGGATGGAGTGTAAGATGTGCCAGTAGGCCTCACTGGGAGGGTGAAAACTGAGCAGTCATAAAGTAAGTGAGACAGTCCAGTGCAAAGGGCACAAGCTCCAAGCTAGGGCACATATATGGCATTACTGGGCAACAGTAAGGAGATGGGTGTGTCCATAATGCCTCCTAAACATCTTATGTCTCTATACTGTAATGGTTTCTTTTCTAAGTCTACTTGATGATGAGACTGTAAGATCAATTAAATCAGAGATCATGCTTCCTCTTCTTAGTATCTTCAATACTTCATATAGTATTAGAATATAGTAGACACTCAATAACCATTTGTTTTATGAAGAAAATAAATGACATAGAACCAGAAAAGTTTTCTGAGGCAACTGAGAAGTAAACCTCAGAATAGCAAGATTAGAATAGTAGCCAGAACAGAATTAATTGACCAACATGACAATATAATAAAGCAAAAAAAAAAAGTCAGTGAATTAAAATTCAAACAAAATTTCAAAGGCAAAAGTATTAGGCTATAATCGGATTTAAAGTAACATGATAAATTTAAATATGATAAAATCTCCTGAGTAACTGCATTTATTCCACTTGGCTTTTAATAAAATAATATTACTCAATAGAATCTACTTATAGCTTCAGATCCAAAATCCTTACTAAAATGTTTTTCTATTTTAGACTAAATATTCTTATATTAAAACATATCCATAAAGCTTATCACAAACAGACTACAGAGTTAAAGGTTGATAAGAGCTTAAAGATAATTTAAGAGACTAAGTCTCTCCAAGTCTCTCATCTTAGAGATGACAAATTGAGGACTAGAAAATTGAAACAATCTGTTGAAGATCAGAAAAAATTAGTGATATATTTGCTAGATTTATTATTCCATTATGAGTCAATAACAAAATGATCTGCATGTCTCTAAAACATTAAATATTACCTAAAATATTAAATACTAAACAGTAAAGCAAGTACTCTGACCACCCTACCTCAAGGAAAACTTGAGGTTTTGACTCAATAATCTGCAGGATATTTTGACTGCAGATTTTGACAATATCTGCAGTTTTGACTGCAGGATCAATGTCTACTATATTCCTGGGCTAGTAAAGAATACAATAATGTTTTAAAATTCTAATTTAAAACAAATCCAAATTCCATTTAAGAAAAACCCAAATGGCCAAAAAATAGAATTAAGTAATAAAATAAACTTAGAATTTACTATGGTTGTCTTTGCTTAACAGTAAGTAATGGCATTAGTATCCTATTGTCCCTAAAACCAAGACATTCCCCAAATAGTATCTAAAATCTGTATCTAATTATTCAAAGTATAATTAATCAAAATTAAGATGAAGGAAATCTCTACTAATAGAACAGGGATTATTTTATAATCAATATTACATGATTACAATATATATTTTGCACATTTAAAGATAGGGAAATTATCAGCCCACTGTATACCTTAACTTAATAAGTCTTGAGTCACTAATCTGAAATTAAAGAAAAAAATCTTAGAGCAGTAAAACCCCACACCTGAAGGACTTACCATTTTATCTAGATGTTCAATGGATCTATAAATCTCCCCCTGGGATTCATCATAGTAACTGTAACGGAACCTTTGACCTTGAAACAAATATCATGTACAAAATAAAATAGGGAAAAATTAGAAGCTAAAAAGAAAGCAAGCGCTTACCAAATAATTTCAGTTCTCATGGAAGGCAAAGCACAGCTTAAGCCTCTGAGAGAATGATTCCCAAGAGCCCTTGTACGAAAAATAAAAGGCATATTTGGGAAGGTAATAAAGAAATGATATATCATCAGTGTTTTACAAGGTTAAAAACTATTTCAAACTGTAAAACCTTAAAGTCACAAGCAATACAAAAGACTAAGGAAAAACAGTTTAAAAGTTAGAAGCATTATTAAACATATCATATCGGTCTATAATGGAAAGTAAACCCAAAGAATATGATTCAAGAAAATCTGGCTTAAGGAAACTATCTCAATATAACAAACCAACGAAAGCTTGGCTTTTGTTGTACAAATGCAAAGATTTAATCTCTACTACAGAAAAAAAAAAAGTCAGTCAGAGATATATGTGGCTTGTATAATTTTTATGATCTAAATTTTAAAAATTTATGTCACTGTTGCAAATGTTAGAAAAGGATTAATACAAGTGCCTTTAAGCAGGATACACCAAAGTATAAATTTAACAAGTAGTTCTACTCTGACAATAAAATCTCAGTGAGGGTACAAGCACAGAACAGTCAATGTTTAGTTATTCTCCAAAGAACAGAGAGGGTAAATGGAAGAAGTTTAAAAAGGGAGAAACAAAAGGCTCAGGAAGTGAATTTTGCTTCCTACTATAGTCATATAAAAGCCAAAAGTTAAACATATTCATAATTAATTAGATTATTATTCAACTGATTATGTTGTATTTCAGATATATCAAAACTTGTTTTTCAGCAATGCCTTTACTTTCAAGAACTCATTATTTTTATATTCCTTATTTTCAAAGATGCACCAAAGTGCAATTCTGAAGGCATTAGAGCGCACTAATCGTGCTCACACATACCATGCGTCTTGTGCTGAAATTTTACAGAAAAGTTCACATAGCCAATTATTATCCTCGCATCTGAGAAGATGGGTTTCTTTGACTGGATAATTATGATTTTTAAGTTCTCTATTTATCTCACTAAAAAATATCTTATAGATCACGAGCTATGTAAAATTATAAAACCCTTTGGATGTAGTTTTTGAGAGAAACCACACATCACAGTTTTTAACATTTCATTAACTTGTTGATGCTAATCATCTCTGATAGTCACCTTTCTACAATATACCATATTTCCTTAGCTTTCACATATTCACTTTTCACATACATTAACATGTACAACTACTCAATGTGGCAGTTCTTATCCCCCCACCCCCGCACCGAGCACCATTATTAAATCAATATTGCATCTTACAATTCATGATATCCTAGAATCAAGTAATAGGGTTATGAGACAATTACCTGCATTTTGAATATTAACAACCTTTTCTGGTAAACACTGGAGATTACTGTATGTTGCTATAACTATCAGATCTATTACAGTCCTTGAACTAAAAAAATTCTTAAACAGTGACAACTCTATCACTCAGCATCTCTATATTAAACAATTCATCAGACACTTCCTTCAAAACTGAGAGTTAGGTACAGCTTTGTTTTTCTTTAAAGAATATATGTACTTACTCCTACCTAACACGCATTATATAATTTACCCTATTTTTCCGATTTGCCAGGTGGCTCTCAGAAGGTTCAAAGCCAAATCTAAAGTCTATTGTAATAACTTACTGATTCAATTCACTGATACTAAATTTCTACTTTTATTTCAAAGTTCTTTTGATAAAGCTGCCCCACATCTTCTGTGAAATGAATAAACAATCAAATAAACAATCCTGGACAAGAAAATTCTAACTCACTGTCACTGTAATTAGAGTAATATTCTTGGATGAAATCAAGATGTATATTCTTTGAACCTGAGCTGCTTCAGGTTTATACTAATACATTCTCTTTTTCTTACTTCTGATGATAACTGTTAGTTTTAGTTGTCAAGAATCCCTGTTACTGGGTCATAACTGTCTTATCTCAAGATGGCCACTCTCAAGTGCAGAGAAAAATGTGTGTACTTTGTGACATTTGCTATTCAAAAGTCTTTTCTACTTATTTTCAACTTTAGAGCTGCTGTTTCAAATTGCTGAAGTTGGTTAAACCTGCCCTAACCATATGTCAAAAGTGTAACTATTTTTTAAAATGCTATCTTATTTATATGGACCATTTTCAATGTAACTTTCACTTAACAACAGAATGTTTAAAATAAGTTAAAATACTAAATCAACATGTGATTTAGTAAGAATGACAAAATACAAAGAAAATCAATGAGTAAATGTTTTAATATTTTGCTATTTTTTGCTATGTTTTAGTAGCCATCTCGAATTTAGTAGCTGAAGAACTGAGTAGAAATATTTGATAAGCACTAAAGAATTTCCATTAAGAAGCTAAATTCACACTGCTATAGCTACTACATTGAAAAAAGTATCTTACTTGTAACAGCTCAAACTGTCTCATGATAATTTAATTATACAAACATTTCAATATTACTTCAGTGATTCATTCTGGTCAACATACTTAAAGAAAGCATCAAATTTAAAAGTAAATAGTTGCCATTATCCTAGCCTAAATGCATTAACATGTACATATGTATGTATGCATATACATGTGAATGCACATGAGTACATACACATAACAAGTTTACTTAAACACCCTTTGGAATTTGAATTCAAAAGATTTTTTGCTTCTAATTATGAAAATAAAGTTTATCAAGATTTTATTTACTAAGAAATAAAAGAAACAACACTAACACAATACACTGCTCATTAATGCACCTTCAAATATTATTCATTTAAAAAATATTATGATTTCATGTACCTCATGAGTTTTGTTTTATGGTATTTCTAACATTCAGTAAAGCTTATGCATCTAAAGTGAACAAACACGGTTGCCTATGCGCCTGGAGAACTGGACATGTGAACTTTTATATAAGTATGAATTAAGCATAGTAAGAGAAAATTACTTACCTGAAACTTATCCTTTCAGAAGGTACACTGGGAAAATGGATTCTTTGAGCCCCTGTTTCAACTCCAAGTATGAGCTTTCTAGCTTTAAGAGCCATTGACCCTGCCCCTAGGGGCAGCACAAGCTTTGGAACTCCCCTAGTGAGTATGTCAGTAGTTTCTTCAGGTGCCTTCCCTCAGTTCTTTTCAAATTCAAAAGATGAGAGGAAAAATAACCCAAGAAAAAAATCCTGTAAAGCAGAAACCTTACTCTTTGAGGGAAGGAGGGTAGCTCATTTGTGAATCCATTCCAGAGCACGCTTTCTGAGAAAAAGAAATACAGGTAAGTAATTTTCCCATCTCCAAAGGTGACTGGTGATTAATGAGTGGATTCACAGAGTGTGGAGAATAAGCTCCAGGGATGTCTGTTTAACACACAACAATCAACTAATGAGGACAAACATAACAATGAATGGTACAAGAACCAACACTACTTTTGAAATACCTCAAAACAAAAAATAAAAAAAAAATATTAACTATCTCAACATTAAGCTATATACTAGATTGCAGAAATAAACAATGAGCTTGGAAAGTTGTTCTATAAAGCCCCCAAAAGATCAGTGAGTAAGACAGACTTCCAGACGTATGTCCAGGAAAAACTGTACTGTTATACATTTACTTAATCACTTTATATGTTTAAATATTTCAGTTCAACCTCACAACACCTGTGAGATAAGACTATTAGATCATTCTACACTAAGGACCTAAACTAGGGGCATTTAATTGAAATCACTACCAAAGAAAAAATGTTTCATAGAGAAACTATTATCTAAGTAGCATCAACTAAGGTATTCATTTTTATAAGCAAAATACTATAGTCCTTTCATTCTGAAGTCTTAGCTATAATGTAAAATTATTGGCTTTATCTCAAACCCACAAAAGATCAAAATCCTAAATATGTGAAATCACTATGTACCAATATTTGAGAAGACAAATGTGATATCTTGAATATCTTGAATATTTCAGGAATTAGCTAACCTAAATCAATTTAAATATTTAGAATATAGTAATACCATCATACCCAAGAGACTAACAACAGAAAGGGAGAAGAGTATGAATAATCATATACTAATACATATTAAACTAGAAATGCCCATTTTAATAAGTAGCATATATTTATTAAAAATTATGTAAATATACAAATGCAAGTTTACAGATAAAACTCCAAACCTGCTGAAGTGACTGAGTATAAACCTTATTCATATTTTAACAAAATAATTTATCATTAACTTTTACCAAATAAATTTACTGAAACTGATTTGAAATTAAAACTATCATTTAAAAGGAAAATTATTTAATAAATAGAAGTGTGAATCTACTTTAAAGAATCAACTTCTGTTAGATCCAGTTTCATTTAGAAACTTCTCAGAAGTTAACTGAAAGTTATGTTAATGAAAGCTGTCAATAATCTAAATTTGAAAGTATAAAGTTCGGGATGATCAGGAAAAAGCAAGTATTAACAGAATATATGGAAAAGAGCAAAAATAAAACTCAGGAAAGCAAAATACAAATTCTACTAACTAGAAAAACTACAAAGTCCTGACAACAGACAAAATTCTCTATAATGGAGCCATCCAACAGGATGTGGAACTTGGTAAGTGCACAATGCATGGGGACAGCATTAGTTAACCATAATAAAAGTCAAATACTAGCAGCAAATGTCCTTTCGCTTATGTAACTATTCCTGATATTTAAACGTTATCAGAGAAACACCATTTTGGCCTCCCAAAAAGCAGGGAGATCCAAATAAGGGGACAGAAAGACAGGGCACAATAGAATCTAGGTTCCAAACTGTCCCTTTGCTTGTCTCATCCAAAAAGAAAAATTGAGAGTATTTTAATCTATTTTTTTTCTTTCTCCAATCTCTCTCTCAAGTGTAAACAAGAGCTAAGTGGAATCAGAAAGATGAACCTCTTTAAAGCAAACCACCCCTTTAAAAAAATAATTTTTATAATGGACATTGGCTAACAAATAAGGTTGACAAGGCAAAATCCTTCCAGTTACACACATATAGGTCTCTCAACTGTCTCTATCATCAAATTTTTCATTTTATTTTTCACAGAACCTGGACAGTATAAAAAGAGAAACAACCACTAGAAATAAAGATGTCGTTACTACCAGTACTCTAACATATTATTCAACAAAAACAAAAAAAAATTCCACTGTATATATCTGAGCAATTGGTCAACTGTACCATAATCAAATGACTTCTCTTAAAAAAAAACAGCTATTCAGAAATGTGAAGTGTGTTAAGAGCCTAACTCAATGAAACTTTTAAGATCTCTGAGTACTTGAGAAAATTAATCTTTCCTGTGAAATGATTTTGAATTCAGTGTTATCATTACTTACGTATGATAAAATCAATCCGCATGGTATCATTAAAATAAGAAGAAACTAAGTATTGTATTCATGAGAAAAGGCTAGATTTTTGAGCTGGAAATTACTGTTCATTCATATAGGAAAGAGGACCAATGCCACTAGAGCAATGAATTTGAAAAATATGAAATTTAATTTAAGTAAACACAGTTTAATCCATAACTAGCCAACGATTCATATTATTTCAGTAGGCACGTAAAGGAGAAAAGGAAGCTTACTTTACAAGAGTGGCCGTCACCATTACAGTGTAGAAAAGAGTCTACCAATTTTGGAATAGTGTCCATGTAACTCTTTCCACTTACACCAAAACCTCCATCAAATTTCCTAACAAGAATTAGTACAGTGCTTTCCATAAGTACAAAATAAGCATTTAATTAGTATTATTAGCGACAGTTATACTGAAAAAATAAACACTTGGAAAGGTTCTATTATTTAACCACTAATTGTAAATATAAATATGTTTTAGTCTCTTGACAGTTTCAATAGCTAACATTTACCAGAATTTGGAAAGTTTGACTTCTTTTTTGTAATTATAACCAGAAAATTTGATCCTGTGATTTAAATTACAAAATTTTCAAGAAATCAGTAGATTAAATGGCCTAAACAATTTTCTGAAGATGTAAATAGACATAAAACAAAATTTGTTTTTCTCTCTCAACATTCTACTTAAATACAGTAGTGGACTAGGATTTTCTTTATAATCATCAATGAGGTAAAAAGGATGAGTTCAAACAAAAGCAACATTAAAACATCTACTCGTCTTTTAAGTGGATTTATGTTGTGATTGTACTATACCAACCTTGAGGGAGAGTCTAGGCCCTGAAGAATACTATCATATCAGGGAAATGAATTATTTAAGTCATGAAGTGATTTTAAACAATTCAAAGAGCCTTAAAAGTGAAGAGGAAGGGACACATGCTTTAGGAACTTTCAGTTTCTAAAACATGCTTTATTCATAATGCTAAGAAAATTGCTTTCCCCCCAATAATGATACTCCCTAGTTTTATTACTAAACTTCAAAATCCCCCCAAAAAAGAACCCCTTCAGATCTAAGTAATACACTTATATCCATAAAAAACAACTTCTGTCAAAGGTAGCAAACCAACTAGCAAATAGCATTTGTTATTAAAGAATCCTGAGAGCCTTTTAAGGAATTTGGCAAGGTAGCAGACAGAGCTACCTGAGTACCCTAAACTAGGGTTTTCAACCTCAGCACTATCAACATGTGGGCAAGATAATCTTGTACATTACAGGATGTTTACCTAACAGCTTTTCTGGACTCTACTCATTAGATGCCAATAGCATCCCCACCTCCTTCCCACTCCAGCTATGAGGACCAAAACTGTCTCCAGGCTTTTCCAAATGTCTCCTGCGGAGATAAGCAGCCCCAGCTGAGAAATCAGTGATATTCTATCTATACCATTAGTGAGAATGGTTCTCTTGAACTGAAATCTCAAGGCCACACACAGTGTAGCATGACGTAAGAGAAGAAGAAACCAGCCTATCCACGCCTGATAAATGGTGAATCAACTCTGGCAATCAATGACAAGACATGCAAAGTCCAGGGCTCCCTATAGCTCATTAAGGGTGTTTTTCTGGCCATTATATAGCTTAAAATTTATGGTGTTGTGCCTTATTTTTTCACCATAATCAAAGAAACAACTGAAGAATGAACAGATATTGGCATCCTTAAACCATTAAATCAATGAGTCAAAGAGTGTCCTAAAAGGAATAGGATTCAGAAACATTCTATCACAGTAATGGATAAACAGAACAAACTGTATCCAAAGAATTCAAGAAAAAAAATTTAACTAAAAGAGGCATCCATAAACATCTCACTTCCTTTATGATCTATTCACTGTGAAGCTTCCTTATTTTTTTAAATTCATAATAATAACAAAAATCTCTTCGAAGTTCTTTTCCTTATGAACCAGTGAAAACCACAGCGCTAGTAACTAACGTGTTACAATCTTTGGAGGATACTTTGGAGGTATAATCTTTGGAGGCAACTATGAGCAAAAATTAAGCACCAAAGGCAAAAAAAGAAAGAAGAAAGGACTAATTACAAAAAAAAGAAAAAAAAGAAATGTGGAGCAAGACTGGCATAGCACACAGTGCTCTTCTTCGTTCTAAAGAACATTTGTTTTATCTGCCAAAAAACTAACTTCAGAGAATCTATCACACAGCTCTACCTAGAAATGAGGTTAAAAGATCTTAACTCCTACTAACCTAAGTGTCTAAGCAAGGATGCCCTCACAGTGTGAATCCAATTATACCAGTCGCCTTTGGAAATGTATCTATAATCCCCTATTACAATCTCATCCTTTTTAAAGACCAAAAGAGTTTTTCATTCACCTTTATATATTATTGCTAAAAGTGTAACTTTCCAAGGAAAGTGATAAATAACTGAAGATCAGAGCTTAGAAAGAAAAGATACCTTTAACCACATGTACATAATCTCTACCATGAAATGTTAAAATCTAGAACTTACCCCAATGGCAGAAATCAGAAGAAACCACAAAGAGATTACTAGGATCCGCTAGGTATTTACTGAAGAGTTTTCCGAATTCCTGTTCTTTTGACTCACTCAAAGCTCCAACCAATACAGGAATAATGGTAAACTCATCCTTATGGCTTAAAGAAAACAGAAGAGAAAAAAAAAAAGTCATTTAAAAAATATAATAAAAATAGGTTTCCAATGCTTGGCACTAAAAAGTGGAACATTTATTAACAGTGGTATGGATAATATACATAATGCTGTTGAATCCTTAAAACCTATAAATTAATATTTAAAGAAAACCATTTAAAAATGAGAGGTACAGAATATTAAAAATATCTGTTTAAATTACAGAAATGTACAGTAGTTCTTTAGGTAAAAGAGCTCGGTAAACAAAGCTATTTTACTACTAACAATATCATCAAATATAAAAGTAAGCTCATCAAACCACTATCATCAATCTTCTCAACTACCCATAAAATCTACAATCATCTCTGCCCAATGCTTCTGCAGTTTAAAAGAGCATTAGATTCTTCCTTACTTAATTCTGATTGTAAACACCACCATTTCCGGCACTAGCTCTATAAACCTGCCAAGTGAGACCCACAAAACTTATCTCGGCTCCCAAAAGATTCACCAGCTGCACCTCACACCTAAACTAATTAAACAGATATAGGACAGTCTGAAGATACAACTCAAATTTCACTGGCATCTAGGATGGACATAGAATTCAAGGAAATAGGTATTAATTTCTGGCAGCAAGAAAAAGATACCACGCCCATCCACAATGTCTACAGCGTATTTACACTTTTTCACTCTACAGATTCAAAGAGTATGGAAAAGGAACAAAGCGAATTAAGAATAACTGCCGGGCTACAGAAACAGACCTTTAACATTTTCATGTGGTGAAATTTAACTTACATATATTCAGTACTATTTATATTCTAAATGATCCCAGAGTTGACATTTTAGAAACATGACTCATGCTTGTCTGATTTGTTCTGAACAGGACTTAACAAAAAAAAAAATCTTATAATATATGGTTGTTAATATGATAATTTGGCACTTAATTGATGTAGGACAAACAGAATTTATAGAAGGGTCTGTAAAAAAAAAAAAAAAAAAACTAGGTTTAAGTATTACCAAAATAAATGTTAGCTCAACTTCATTAAGCTAAATTCAGGGCACCCAAGCGCCTCCCCCAAAAAGGCCCCCTTACCCTTGTCAATTGCGAAATAAACAGATCATACAGATCTCCAGTCCCTCTGCAATGCAGGGGCTTCTTGGGCAGAATCTGCATCTATGGAGTAAGAAAAAAACAGGAAGCTGGCAGAGGAAGCTGCCATGGGATATCTCTTTCTATGATTCTTACCACTGTGCTTCACCAACTGCATGAATGAATAGGGGCTTTTCAGTAAGGTAAGAGTGATTATCAAATGAAAGAAAAGAATTTGTACTCTAGCAAAAAATTCAAGAAGATTGTTATGAGTTGTTCTAACTTCAAGTACTAACTACATAAATAAAAACACTAAGATCATTAAAATGACACAGCAGGGAAGCAGAGTATAAAAAACAAGAAGTCAGAAGAAATGGGTTCAAGCACTGTTTCTATCACAAACAAACAAATGATGAGTGCAGAAGGAAGTTACTAACCTAAAAATTTATCTTATTTGTAAAATGATCATAATTACAATACCTAACTCATAAAACTGTTACAAAGTGAGGAATACTGTAAGCAAAGTACTTCGTCAGTGTTGGTTTTCCCTGGAGAAACATCACGAGTCTACTCTTTGAGAGCCACCAAACCACCCAGTTAACCTCAGTCTGAGCTATCTACACAGGGGCAAAAGTCTCATACTATGGAGAAATTCAACCTTTGAATCAAGATTCATCCATCCACCTCTCTGCCATTTCGCTTTTCAAAAAATTATTGTTACTATTGTTCTCTATCCCCACAAAGCATAAATCAAAGAAGACAGCATTTGGCTTTGAAATGTGATATTACTATAAAAAGTCCAGAATCCAAGTTGTGAAGCTCGTCTTCCCTAGAAAAGGAATATAAAATTTTGCCCTCAAACAATCATAAAACTGAGTAAAACTGTCCAAAAAACAACCATTTTGTGCTCTGAAAATCAAGCAAAGACCGAAAAATACAATGAGAAGAGTTAATTCCTGAAAAATACAATGAGCTTTTTGAGAACAGTGCAAGTCTGGCATCTTACCAGGAACTGCCTCTATCCTCCTTCCTCCAACATTACGGTAAATGCAAGGTGAGGCTGGCCTCACTATGAAAAACCAGCAGCTTCGCTGTTGAAGGAGGTTGACTTTGACTTGGGGCAGAGAGTAGAATACCCACACCCAGCAGGAAACAGAAAGTCCTGCCACTTTTGTAGCCTGAAATGACCACACCATTTGAGGCAAGCCACAAACCTGAGGACTACCTAGAAATCTAACAGGGAGGTCCTGGGAAGGAGAGAGCCATATAGGGACAGGATAAATTCCCATGTTCTGAGAAGATGCCCTGGCTGAACAGGAGGCAGCATACACGTGCAGGGGAGGTCCAGAAGGCTGAAGCTCCCCCCAGATGCCAGGGAGTCGGGAGGGTGAGAGCAAGCACAAAGGGCAGGGGAGCCCAGGGACAGCAAGCTCTTAGGCGTCCCTGGCTGCCTGGAAACAAGGATGCACAACAGCACAGGGAGACCAGAGAAGACCCAAGGGAAAGCAAAGGAGGCAAACGCGAAAACTTCTGATGTTCTCCCCAGACAGTCACGGCCCCCCAGCTCATGGTGAAGGCTATATAGGCTCACGGTATTTAAACACAACTTCCAAACAAACAGTAGCTAGCACTAAGCAGTGTAGACACCAGGGTGAGCTCTAGAAAGTCAAGGTAAAAAACAAGTAAGAATGTTTTAAAAGCTGAGGAGATGCATCAGTAGCCAAACCCTGTGACAAAGATTCTGCAGACAGAGTCTATGAAAGGTACTTTTTTTAAAAAATGAGGGCTTCCCTGGTAGCTCAGTGGTAAAGAATCCACCTGTCAAAGCAGGAAGTGCCAGTTCAATAGCTGGTCCAGGAAGATCCCACACGCCTCAGAACAACTAAGTCTGTGTGCCCCAACCACTGAGCCTGTGCCCGGAAGCCTGGGAGCTGCAACTATTGAAGCCCGCATACCCCAGAGCCTGTGCTCCACAAGACAAACCACTGCAATGAGAAGCCCACACACCACAACAAACAACAGCCCCTGTCTGCTGCAACTAGTAAAGCCACGAAGACCCAGCGCAGCCAAAAATAAATAAATGAATGAATGAAACCACCACTACCATCATCTGAAGAAAAACATTAATAAAATTACAATAAAGTTGCTATAATATACTGTACTATGTAAAAGTTCAGTTTCAAGGAAAAAAAAATTCTGAGTCAAAGAACAAAGAAACTGTAACCCATTCCTGGAGGCAAGGAGAGAGCTAGCAGAAGTTGTACAAGTGGAATCAGACAGACAGATTTAAGAGTTATGTGCTCACTCAATCGTGTCCGACTCTTTGCAGCCCCATGGGCCGTAGCCTGCCAGGCTTCTCTGTCCATGTAATTTTCCAGGAAAGAATACTGGAGTGGGGTATCTTTTCCTACTCCAGGGGATCTTCCTGGCCCAGGAATTAAACCCACATCTACTACACTGGCAGGCAGATTCTTTACCACTAGCATCACCTGGGAAGCCCCTAAAGTTATTATAAACATGTTCAAAGAAATAAAGGAAAGTATGCTTTTAAAAGTTTAATGTAGACATATATACAATGACTACAGCAAATATCAACAAAGAAATGTAAAACATTAAAAAGAACCAAAGGGAAATTTTGGAATTGAAAAGTATAACTGAAATGAAAAATTCACTATATGGTCTGAAGAGGAAAATCAATATTACATAAAGAATCAATAAAATTGAAGACAAAATAAGTTATCCAATCTGAAGAACAGAGGGAAAAAAATGAATAGAGCACTGGAGACGTGTACACAACATCAAATACATGAGGATGCACACAATGCGGGTCCCACAAAAGTTACAGGAAAAAAGTTAGAAAAAATAATGGCTGAAAACTTCCCAAATTTCATGGAACATTTATCTAGAGATCAAAAACACTCAACAACCCAAATTAGGTAAGTATAAAAAGATTCCCAACTTAGATATAGCATAATGAACTGATGAAAACCAAAGACAAAGAGAAAATCGTGAAAGCAGCAAAAAGAAAATGACTTGTTACCTACAGAATAGTCTTTTCAACAAATAGTACTGGGATAATTGCATAATCCATAGGACAAAAAGTGAAGTCAGAACTTTACCTTGTACCACACACGAATTGGATCATCAGTTCAGTTCAGTTCAGTTCAGTCGCTCAGTCGTGTCTGACTCTTTGTGACCCCATTAATCACAGCATGCCAGGCCTCCCTGTCCATGACCAACTCCTGGAGCTTACTCAAACTCATGTCCATCGAGTCGGTGATGCCATCCAGCCATTTCATCCTCTGTCATCCCCTTCTCCTACTGCCCCCAATCCCTCCCAGCATCAGGGTCTTTTCCAATGAGTCAACTCTTCACATCAGGTGGCCAAAGTACTGAAGTTTCAGCTTCAACATCAGTCCTTCCAATGAACACCCAGGACTGATCTCCTTCAGGATGGACTGGTTGGATCTCCCTGCAGTCCAAGGGACTCTCAAAAGAGTCTTCTCCAACACCACAGTTCAAAAGCATCAATTCTCCTGCGCTCAGCTTTCTTCACAGTCCAACTCTCACATCCATACACGACCACTGGAAAAACCACAGCCTTGACCAGACAGACCTCTGTTAGCAAAGTAATGTCTCTGCTTTTTAATATGCTATCTAGGTTGGCATAACTTTCCTTCCAAGGAGTAAGCATCTTTTAATTTCATGGCTGCAGTCACCATCTGCAGTGATTTTGGAGCCCAGAAAAATAAAGTCTGACAGTTTCCACTGTCTCCCCATCTATTTCTCATAAGGTGATGGAACCAGATGCCATGATCTTAAGTTTTCTGAATGTTGAGTTATAGCCAGCTTTTTCACTCTCCTCTTTCACTTTCATCAAGAGGCTCTTTAGTTCTTCTTCACTTTCTGCCATAAGGGTGG